GTAAAACTGGACCCTCAAACTCTACTCAGACCATCCCTCAGCTGGCAGTCAAATTCAGTCCCCATTGTTGGATATATGAGGAGACCCATGGAAAATGAACTCCCAACGTTCATATACAGGCAGTCCTCAAGTTAGGTATGTTCTTAAGTTGAATTTGTATGTAAGACAGAACAGGTACTTTTTAAAGTATAACTCCAGTCAAAAATAAATAAATGAATGAATGAATGAATAAATTTTGGGTAGCATAGAGAAGGGTTAACACCCCTGTAATTTTTGGTTTACTGTCCATTCTCCTATTCAGAGGATTTCCCCTCACTTTCTGTCCCTGTGGTAATTGAATTTTGAAAAAATTACCATGTTGTGAGAACAAGGATTGGTGATAAAGCTTCAGTGAAGACATCTTTCCCCCATGATAACCCTTTCAGGAGTGAATTTCCCTTCTGAGGGGTAGATTGCTCTCACTTCCTGTAGTCTCACCCCAGTTCTTAACTATGAGTCATTTTGTAAGTTGGATGTTTGTAACTTGGGGACTACCTGTAGTACCAAAAAACCCTCCCAGATAAAATCAATTTGTGCAAGTACAACCTGTCCCCCTTGACTATTAGCTATGATAAATGTATCAGCAGGTAAGTAACATTGAAGAAATTCACACCCTCAGTCCATTCCCAACATTTATATCTTTTCCCAGTGTCAAACTGTAAAGCCAAATGCAAGACTTACCCAACTAGGTTCACTAATATGAACAAACCCTTTCATGTTACTGGACAGCTATTCACGTTTGGCCATGATGCTAAAAAGTACTCCAGGACCCATCTTCCAGCAGGAGAGGTCCAGGTATTGAGGCTCTTTTGCCCCTGTACTTTGGGAAACCCATTTAGGTTTTAATAGGAAGAGGAAAGATAAGTGGATAACATTCTGAATACTTGTGAAATCATTGTTTCAGCACTTTTCTGTTTTACCACTTAATGTTTATGAAGCTAATTTCTCCCTTTCAAGTTTTTGATACTAGGAATAAAATGTCGGCTAATAATAACAATAACATAAAAAGCAGAGTTGTAATCTGCATTAAAACCTGATATACTTATTTATAATTAATAGCTTTTTCTATCAGTCTGTTATTCAAACTTTAAGTAGGCAAGAGATATCACATTTTAATGGCTTATTTCCTTCTAATTTTTTTGGTCTCTTTTGAGTGGCTATCTTGGAATCATTTACCTATCAGTTTTCTACTGAATGTGTTTCTCAGTGAAAATAATAGTGATGCAATTAAATCATGTTAAGCATGAAATGCTGATATCAGAAAAACACATTGTACTTTAAAAGGTTTATGGAATTTCCAGTATTAGCTGTTCTAGGCCAGTTTCACACTTATTGAGAGCAGCAATCCCTCAGGCAATATGCTGCGTAGGTTTTGATTTGATAACCTTTGTCACCCACCCTTGATAACTGTGGATTGATTAGCAACGGCTGGTTGAATACAGACTTTGAGTTTGTCAGAGGGTGGCTATTTATAGGCATTATCAAATTGGTCATGTTCAGCCATGTTTATTTCAGAGGTAACCTAACTGAGCATGTGTTACATTGTCCTATAAAGTATTTACCAGCTGTGTTTTTGGGAACACTGGTCTGCATGCAGTTATTATTTCCAATAGGAGTCACTTTGACTTCTGCTTTTGTGGAAAAGTTGGGGTATAAATAAGTTGATTGATTGATCAAGAAATCAATGGAACTGAGACAAATGTTGACTTACCATGTTTCTCTTAATTTAATGAGCCTGATGGTTCCATTCCATGGGCAAAACTTAGTTCACTGTTGTCTTGATTGCTTTTTTAAATTGTATCTGAGAACCTCACAATGTCATTGAATTTGTTTTTAATCATGTAAAGAATGCTCTGCAGCAACTTCCACATTGATTTAGTGTAATACTTGGGATTATTCCTCCCCTTAGGATTCAGCTGCACTGTAGAATTAATGCAGTTTGACATTACTTTTAACCGCCAATGCTCAATGCTATAGAATCATGAGAATTGTAGTTTGGTGAGGCACCAGCACACTTTGGTAGATCTGGAAAAACTACAACTCCTATGATTCCATATCATTGAGCCATGGTGGTGGTGCCACACTGCATTCATTCTGCAGTGTAGATGCATCCTTAACCTCCTTGCCTGGCCATAGAAACTACATGAATGGTGCAAGCAAAACCTTGTAATATACATCAATACGGATTTCTTCAGAGTAGTACAGTTCCTATGCCTCCTCAACTCAGATGTTGGCCCTTCAATGTAATACTCCCATTTAGGAGTATTACAAGAAGTGTGGATGTTTTCCTATCCTTCCTTTGTCCAAAACCATCTTTGCATTCTTTTTTAATGGAAAAGAAAGAAAGTTTTAGTGATAATAGAAATTATCTTACACATCTTTGTAGAAAACTGTAGATAAAAGAGCATCATGAGGTTTTAGGTGTACTTTAATTTCCAAACTATTGTGCTATAAGTAGGAGCTATTTGGCAATGAAATGTGCTGTCTTGGAGTGTGGTGGAGTCTCCTTCTTCGGAGGTTTTTAAAATAGAGACTGGGTGGCCATCAGTCAGGAGTGCTTTGATGGTGCATTTCTCCATGGTAGGGGATTGGACTGGATGGCTCTTGGGGTCTCTTCCAACACCATGATTCCAGGAAATCATTGTTTCAGATTCCTATAAGCAACAAGGTGCTAGAAGGGTTAAATTCCCTACCAGGCACTTAAAGCTTTTTTCAAAAACAATATTCAAGTTTGTTTATGTACAGGCAGTGCCACTAATGGGCAGTGACTAAAAATAATTTGCATATGGATATGGTTTAAATGCAGGGTTGACTTTTGTAGAAGGAGCAGGTGCAAAAAGTTGTACTGTAATGTTTTGTTTTGTTGCCTGATGGTAGGGCTGTTTTGTAAACAACCTGATGCATCGACCTCGGGGAACTGCCAGCTGCTCTGCTCAGGTTCCCTGTAGACATTTTGACAAAGTGGGGATTGTTGAAAATGGCAAGTAAACAAGAAAATAAGCTATATTTGATCATCTCCTAACATGTTTGAACGCACTTGTTGTTTTTGAGGACTGATTCCCAGACATGCACTTAAATCTGATTTGGGTTTCCACCTGCTCCATTTAGTTGCCTGTTGTTTTAAACAAACTTTCAGAATTGACAAGATGAATTGTATTTGTCAAGTAGGTAGGCCTACTTTTTGTATGTAAATCAGAAGTTTGCCCTGTGATATAGAAACTGGCAATACTATGTTTCCAGTCATTTTGAGGACAGAATGTCTAATTTCCTTTCTACTTGTTTGTTGGAGCTGATTTTGGAGTGGACTGGCATTGTTTTATGCTTATAGAGAAAATCACCTTGTAGTCCCACTTGTGTTTATGCCTCTTAATGAATGATAAAATTCTATTGATAACATACTGAAGTGATCACTTTTCCTATGGATAGGAAAGAAAGTAAAGTGTTACTATGATTTATTTATACTTGTTGGTACATTTTAAAGGGAAAACAGCAAAGTTAGTGCAACCGGGGTGTGGTTTGTAATATATAGGGAGTGGACGATGTCTCTGTTTAAACATTGTCACAGGCACGGCTGGTGGGGTCAAGGGAGAGGTCTTTCTTGGTGGTGGCCCCCTGACTTTGGAACGTCCTCCCTAGAGAGATTAGGTAGGCCTCCACACTATCCTCCTTCTGGAAGGAATTGAAAACTTGAATGCATTGACAAACCTTTGCAAATGTCTAGCCCAATGGTCTGCAATTAATGACACAGCACTGCACTTTGTCCCATGCCCTACTTTATGAGTGACAACTTGCACTATCCTATTCCCTTGTTCCTGTATACAGTTGGCCATTTTTATGACAGTTCTCTCCATAAGTTATTGGGTCCTGTTTTAAGCTTAAACTATTGTTTTATATGCTGTTGGTTTAATCTTTTATTGCATTGTGTGTTTATGTGTTGTTTTGGACACATTATGCCATATGTAAGCCACGCGGAGTCCCTTCGCGGAGATGGAGGCAGGGCACAAAAATAAAATTGTTATTATTATTTTACTGACACAAAAACACAGTATGTCATAGCAAACGAGAAATATATGCCAGATTTCATATCACAAAATCTGTGATGTATTTTCGAATAATGCACACAGATCCAAGTAAGGTGGCCTTTTGCAATTGACAGTTCGTGATTTTGTCAATGTATTATTATTATTACTATTATTATTACAATTATTATTATTTAATAGGTTTAAATTTATATTAGCTATTTTAAAATAATGTTTTAAAGTGGATTGTTATTTAAGGCCTTTTTAATTGTTGTATTACAGAATGATTTAATGTAGAACGTTAGCCCCTTGGGCTCACAAATTGGAGAAAAGTGGGATATAAATGAAATAAATACATGCATAAAATAGTACAGATCTGAATCTGTATTTTGTTGGTTGAACACTTGCTTTTGAAGCACTTTTAAATAAATTGTTATGTGTAATCTTTTCTTCAAAGGTTTAGTGAGCCAACATTTTTCAGTATATGGTTCAGTGTACACATATACAAAATGGTTAACAACGATGTATAAAATTACATTTAGATTATGTGTATAAATTGAACATGAATCATCAATGAATTTTGTATTTAGAGTTAGGTCACATCTCCAGGATATCTAATCTGAAATCCAAAACACCTCTGGTCCCAAACATTTCTGATAAGGAATATTCATTGTATATTGGATTCTATCCAGACTTCGCTCCCATGGAAATCACTGTTTGGCCTTTTCATATTGGCTTCTGTGGCAGCTAAATGTGACCAATTTAATCTGGACCTGGCCTATATATAGGGTGGGTGATTTTGAAGTCATTTTAGACACTAATTCCGTTTATAATAATACTATAATGGTTATTTTGCCCTGTCTTTGAGAACTATTGACTTCTTATGAAGGAAACCAATCCATGAAACACTCTTGACAGAGAGGGGTTTTTTTTCCATTTCAGCAGTCTGCAGCCCTGCTTGTGAATATGCCAGAGATGAAACAGGGTTAGTCCCTTGCAAGACTTCACCAGCCATGAAGGAAAATGTGTAATACCTGCAACTGAACCTGGTGAGTCAAGAATGTATGTGTGTGACCTCATTTAAGAATCTTTTCCTAGGAACTCACAATAATTCTTGCAAAATAATTTTTTCTGTTTGTTTTTTAAGAATTTAGAACATTTGCCATTTAAATTAAATTAAGTTAAATTACATTAAATGTAGCCAAAATGTAATTTGACATCTCATAGATTTGTGGATGGAGAGGTAGTGTGGTCCAGTGATTTAAGCATGGGACTATTTATTTATTTATCAATTTTATATACCGCCACTCCCCGAAGGCTCAGAGCGGTTTACAATATAAATATGCAATACATTACATTTAAATATTCATGTGCACATTACATTTAAAACTTTACATTACATACATTACACTTAAAACTTTAGAGTCAAGAATCTCATCCTCATACAGCCATAGAAATCCATTGGGAGTTATTAGGGCCTTTCTGCATGACCAATAATTCGAGCTTCATCTGACATCTGGGGCACTGGGTTGGACGTGCATGGTGGCAACACAGAATATCCCGGAACCACCTCAGAAGCATTCCTAACATGGTTTCACTGAGCAACCAACCTGGAGGTCCCTCCCCAGTGACATGCTCTCCAAGTAGTTTTCGGCACTGTTGCCGCCTTACTAAGGAAACTGGGAGTAAAGTGTGGGGACAGGGCTCTTATTGAATGCAGCAATGCCATTATGGAATTTTGTGGGTTCAAATTTGGATTTTAAAAAAAAATACTAGTTGAGTTTTTAAAAGTAGTCACTCTTTCTCCTAGTTTTTGTGTTATGAATCATGATCATATGTCTTGCCGCCACTGTGATTTACTGCAAAAGAAACTTAATTCTGAATATAATTCCAGAGCACATCCTAGTGGCCTCATGCCAGTGCACATGAATAACAAATTGCATGGAAGTAATAGAAAATAATCAGTACTATTTTAGTAAAAGTAGAAGACACGTACTCCCCTGCTGCAAATAAATTTTAAAAATAGACAAGACAAAAATAGACTATATTCTCTATATTTCTTTTTACTAATGAATAGGAAGTCCATATCTATCAAGTCTGCATCTGTAGATCTCATCCTTCCATGTTTCCCTCCATTCTCTCCTTCATGTTTGATCTGTGCCTTCTTCTATGGGATGGATGTTGCTTTCATAGGATGGTGTTCATCACCACTTTGCTCATTTCCCCCTGATGTGAACATTTGTGTGTCCACAGCAATTGAACACATTGCTTGAATGCAGTACCCAAAGCACAAATTGTGTCCAGACCACAGATAGTAAAACAGAATAATGTCTCACACTTCCTTTGAAAAACACACATAAACATCATGTATTAACTCTTTTCAGCTTTCCTCTAGTAAAGTGGTTCTCAACCTGCGGATCACCAGATGTTTTGGCCTTCAACTCCCAGAAATTCTAACAGCTGATAAATTGGCTGGGGTTTCTGGGAATTGTAGGCCAAAACACCTGGGGACCCACAGGTTGAGAACCAATGTTCTAATACTAAGTAGTAAAAAGTTATGTAAAAACTAAAAGAAGCATTAGACCTGAAATGAGTCTTCTTTTCACGTATTTTTTGCGTGAAAAATAGACTTAACCTATTTTCTTATATTGTCATATGAATATTTGTGATAGAAACACAAATCTGTGCCCTAATACAATATCTACAGTGGATATCACAAACAAGAGACAGATTCTTTGTTCTGGATTGTGTAAATGCCGATGACTTTTGCGCTGGTAATTGGGAAGCAGTTAGTGATCTCCTGTTTCTTTGGACAATGAGAGTAATAAAAGTAAATTTTGTTCATTTTAAAACTTCTTCCTAAAACTTTTTTCAGGCGAAAGATGCAATTTTAACAATTTAATATATACTGGCTTATGTGTTTTATACGCTTGGTGTGCTTGATCCTAGCTATTGTGATTTCACTCCTAATACAATGAACCAAATACTGGGGCGGGTGTGTGTGTGTGGAAATACTGATCTAGCTGCAATAATAAAAAAAGGGAGATTTCATACATAGTTATCAATGTTGGCAGCTGCCTATCATATTGTATAATGTCCTGCATTGCACATGGAGACAATGTCAATTTAGATTGTATATCTGAAGTAGTTTCAAAGCATTTATTTGCTTTCTCTTGAGCCCTTAACCTAATTCAAGTAACATAATTGGCTGAATATTTTCCCACATAACTAATTGGCTAGTTGCCAGTGTGGAAACCATTGTCTGACTTGATGATGATCAGAAATTAACATGACATTTGTGTGGTGGTAATGGAATATATTAGTAATGTAATTCTTGACTGTAAGAAAGAGTCCATCATCTCTCTTAACCTATGATCAGCAGGACGGGCTGAAAGAATGATGAAACGTTCCCAGCAGGCAGTTCTCAGCAGTGGCTAGCCAATCTCTATGTCAAATTTTGTTTTAAATTCTTCAGACAAAGCTGTAATGCTTACCAATTAATTACCACAAATGTCAATTAAAAATCTACCAAATAATGCAGTAAGATTAAATTTCAATTAAAAGAATTACATTAAGAAAGGGAAATAGAACATTATTTTAATGAATTCTGCTGAAGGTGACAGATTCTATAGATAAGTTTGTGCACTGTAGGTGGATCTGGATTCATTGGGCAGTGTGAAGTGTGCAACCTCATACATAGATTAACTGTGAGAATTGTTTCCACAACACTCATGTCCTTAAGGAGTTAGGAGCCCCAAAGTGTCACATGTAATCAAACAAATCTTTTGTACTCTTTCAGCATTTCTTTTTCATGTGTAGAAGTGTATTTCATATCTTTGTGCAAAATATGTTTACATATTTTTTTTCAGAAGCTGTAACAGGAGGCTTGTTGGTTTCATAGGGACTGGGAGGATGCTCCCATTAATTACAGATTGTAATTACCGCTCCCCTTCCCCTTTTCTCTCTTTCTCTTATTCATCTCCCAAAGTAACCAATTATTTTACATTTGTTCGATAATGTTCCTAATGGAATTGTACAGTACTAAAGATAGGCAAAATAAGAACTAACCTGTGGGGCTTCCTGCAGTGTGGGGAGGAAATACAGTAGATCTTGCTCCTCCCTTGCACTTCAAAGGTAGGATTTAAGACCTATCAATCAATTTCTCCACACTAAGTGGGGGAGCTAGCCCTCCATGTCTCACAGAAGAGGGCAGCACTTTTGCCTGCCACAGCCAAACCTACCCTTATTGTGGATCACATGTGGGGCCCCCTTATTTGTAGAGGCATCATGGGCCTGCAGTAATGCTTCACTTGGTAGAGCCAAGCACACATGAATTTTGGAAACAAGAAGCTTTGGCTGTGGTGATGAGTATCTCTGACCATGCTCTAAATTTCCTTAATTGCCTACCAGGCAGTGGACATTCGGGATTTTGGGATTTTAGGATTATTTCATTCCTATGGTGAATTCAACCTTTCATTGATCTCAGGAACATGTTCCTTTTTAGCCATGATCACTAAAAGAGAAAAATATTGCATAGGTTGGATGTGTGTATTTTATTTGGAAAGGTTAAGGGATTTTAATTAGTCATATTTCCTTTTTTATCATTTCTCAAACTTACAGTATATTCTGGCGTATAAGACTACTTTTTAACCCAAGAAAATCTTCTCAAAAGTCAGGGGTCGTCTTATACGCGGGTGTAGTCTTATGCGTGGGAGTCGTCTTAACTCTATATTTTAACTGGAAAAGTTGGGGGTCGTCTTATACGCCCAGTCGTCTTATATGCCGGAATATACGGTACATACTAAAGGACAGTGGAGGTTGTCTTCTACAGTGGTTCTCAACCTGTTTGGCCTACAACTCCCAGAAATCCCAGCCAGTTTTCCAGCTGTTAGGATTTCTGGGAGTTGAAGGCCAAAACATCTGGAGACCCACAGGTTGAGAACCACTGGTCTACTAGATGATTAGAATAATAATAATAATAATAATAATAATAATAATTTTATTATTATTGACACAAAAGCACAGTATGTCACAGGAAACGAGATCTATATGCTGGTGATACAAAATCCATCATATAGATCTCGTTTGCTGTGACATACTGTGCTTTTGTGTCAATAATAATAAATAATAATAAGAAGAAGATTGCGCAGATAGACTACAAGCAGAGGCATAACACCACTGCTCAGATGATTCATTGGAACCTGTGCCACAAATACCATCTGCCTGCGACAAAGAACTGGTGGGATCACAAGCCAGAAAAAGTTACAGAAAATGAACACGTCAAACTCCTCTGGGACTTTTGAATTCAGACAGACAGAGTTTTGGAGCACAGTACTCCTGACCTCACGATCATGTTGAAAAACAAAGTATGGATTGTCAGTGTTGCAATCCCAGGTGACAGCAGGATTGAAGAGAAACAACAGGAAAAGCTGACACAATACGAGGATTTAAAGACTGAACTGCAAAGACCGGCACAAGCCAGTCAAGGTGGTTCCAGTGGTGATTGGCACACTGGGTGCAGTGCCTAAAGACCTTGGTCTGCACTTAAACACAACTGGCGCTGATAAAATTACCATCTCCCAGCTGCAAAAGGCCACCTTACTGGGATCTGCATGCATTATGCACCGATACATCACACAGTCCTAGATACTTGGGAAGTGTCCGACGTGTGATACAACAGCCAGCAGAGTGATCTTGTCTTTTGTGGACTCATCTTGTTGTGTTTCAAATCATCATCATCATCATCATCATCATCATCATCATCATCATCTTTATTTATTTTTCACCCGCTCTCTACAAAGGGATTCGAGGCAGTTTACAACCAAAAAATACAGTATACATAATACTACTAATAATAATAATGCATTGGTGTATTATTATTTGGAACACACTCCCAAATGAGGTAAGATCTGCTACCTCCCTCATGGCTTTTAGAAAGAAATTAAAATCATGGTTTTGGGACCAGGCCTTCGGACAGTAGATGTATGTAGAGTTTTAGAGGGACATTGACTGGAATGGCAATACGACTGGCGAGACAGTTTTTTATTAT